AGAGGAAAAATCAAATAAAGACTTCTTTTCATTATTTTTATCATTCTCTCTCTTTTTTTCTTTTTAAACTCATATTTTTATTATATTTAAAAAAAAATTGTAACATAAAAAAAAAGCGATCAGTGGATGAATGATATTTAAGATAAATAATTTAAAAATAATAAATTATTAAATATCAAAATTAATAAGAATGAAATTAAAATTGATGATATTTATGTTTTGAGTTTATAATAAATAACTTATATGGTGATGCAAAATTATTTTAGTTATTCAAGTTTATTTTAAAATTATTAGAATTTAATTTAGAAATAATATCAAAAATATAAATTGAAAAAGATAAAGAGATAAAAAAAAAATTCTTAAAAGCTTCCTTAATGAAAAATCATTAAAAGCACTTTCATGTAAAATAGACGATCTCATTTATATATAGAGTGATTAAATTTTAAGTTAAATTTATTTTTAATTTTTGTATTATTTTTAATATTTTATTTTATTTTTTATCTTTAGAAAAAAATATTTTAGTCTTTTATCTTTTAAATTGAATCAATTTAATTCTTCCAAAATAAAGATTATTATTTTAATATAATTTATTTATTTATTTGACTAATTCAAGTTGTGAAATTTTTTTCATTAAATTCACCTATGTGAAATTAAAACAACTAATGTTTAAATAAAAAAAAATCACAAATATTAAACATTGCATGAAAATGAGGCAAACGAATAAAAAAAATCTATTATCATTTTTTACTAATTGCTCAGAATTTATTATTTATGCAATTTTTACTATATTTATAATTTTATAATTTAAATAAAGTTCCAAAATTAAAATCAATATCAATCTTAAAAAATATTGGAATGACTAAAATTTATGAAAAGATAGAAATTATCAACTTAATTATTAACATCTAACAAAATAGAATAATGGGGTTTATCTTTTTCTTTTTTTTTAGATCTTACTTTTGATTTTTTTTAATATATATATATTTTTTTATGTTTTCTATTTTTAAAATTTTAATTTTTATCCTTTTTCTCATTTTACAAGCTGATATTTGTTTAGTTTTATTTTATTAACAGTAAAATTCTCATTGATTGTGTGCTTAAGAGTGACTTGATAGGTTTGTACTAGCACAAGAATTTTTCATAAAGAATAAAGATGTAACTACAAAAAATGTAATGTAACGCATTTTTATTCTTTTTTTTTTAATGGAGGCAAGTTTTTTTCCCTACTTCTATAATAATATATAAATAAATATCTCCTATTTTGATTTCTACTTTTTAAAGACGATTGTACTTTTAATTATTATAAAAAAAATAAGGATATAACTCATTTATTTTATTTTTCAATAAAGATACAAAATGTTTCTTCTTACTATTATTATGTATAAGGATAATCTTTTGTTTTTTTTGTACATTATTTTTTTTTTTTGTTAATAGAGAATACTTTTGTTTGCAATAACATTTTGTCTCCATTTTATAAGGTCATTTTGTTCATAAATATAGTAATTATGTTTATTTCTTCTCTTTTATGAAGATTATATCACCAAAAGTTACTTTTATTTTCACAAAACGCATAAATTTTCTATCGATAATTCTCAAATAATCTAATTGTTAACTACATACTATTAATTAATTTTAATTATTTTGACTATTTATTTTACTTTCTACATAAAATATACAAAGACAAAAAATTATCTCTTTTTTATTAGTTTATATTACGACATAAGTTAAATAGATTAGTCGTATAGAAGGTGAAATATTGCAATCAATTGAATTATGAAAGATTGATAAATACTTTGCAACTTAAAAAATAAGCATAATAATTGGTTAAATCAATAAATTGGTCTATGAATTATTTGGTTTTATTTAAATTTGAAACTAAATAAAATAAAATTATAATTGATTCTCACAATGTGACACCCTCTACCCCAACACTTATACATAATAAATGTAAACAAATTTTTTTTTGAGTAAATAAAATCTTTCATAATTGACAAATATCTAAAGGTAGAATATTCACATTCATAACTCATAAATCATAACTCCAATATAAAAATTACAAAAGAAAAGAAGTTAAGATTTTCAATACAATTTAGTGAAAACAAGAAATCACATATATATATATATATATATATATATAAATAATAATACAGGAAATATAAATTAACTCCAGTAAAGATGGCAGTGCCTTCTGGTTAGGAATTAATTTATATTTTCCAAATTATGTAATAAAAATATAACAAAAATGTACATTTTGGTCTTTTATCAAGAACGTTCAAATTACAATTCTTAACATACATTTTCCTTGAATTATAAATTTTATCTACGTTATCTCTTCGTTAGAAATTACAAAAGAAGAGAAACTAAAGTTATTAAAACAATAACATATTAAACTAAGATAACTATGCCCCGATGTCACATCCTATCAGAGCATGCCCAATTGAAGCCTTTAAGCCTCATCACCAACATCCTCATGATGCTGATCATCTGCAACATAATTTAAAACATATACAAAAACAACAAGGGAGTGAGAAACATCTCACTCAGTTTCAGGTGCAGAAATAAAGGCTAGATAGCACACACACACACAACATATATAAGTCACATGTAAACAATACATAAATAGTCAATATCACATATATATACTCATTTATCATGCTTATGATGTCATGGACTCAACTCATAAATGCATGCATGTGGCGCCATACGGAAGATTCACAATTCATCGTTGGTGACCCTAAGGTACACCTGGTTAGTATATCATCAACTGTCGGTGACCCTAAGGTACACCTTATTAGCATGTTACATCGTGGGTATGCGGCCTCAGCGGCACACCTGGAGTAATATATGCATATGATGCATGTCATACAATCATAATCTCATTGACTCAATATTTAACTTATTACAGAATTTCATTTAGTACATCATGTCATCATTTTTCATGTTCTCATAATCATATCTTGTCTCAATAGTCCATTTTTAGGTCTCATGTCATTTGTTCATATTTCACATGGTCATGTCATAAATACTCCTCATAAGGTCCGCATAGGAATTCACAGAGAACATTTTTTTTCATATTAAAACTTATTTATTTTTAACGTTAATGACATAATCATTTATTATTTTCAACAAGGAATAAAGTAGAGAAAATAGAAAATCAAACAGAACAACGGCAAGGGATTGAGATTACATATTCATTTATTATTTCCAACAAGAAATAAAGTAGAGTAAACAAAAAATAAGACAGAACAACGGCAAGGGATTGAGGGCCAATTCGACAAACAAACTATCCAACAATTATCCTCACACCCCTGAGCGAGGTTTCTCACTCCCCCCTTACCTGGATAAGCGGAGCTAGAACTTGGGCAGGACCTCCTCCTCTGGATTCCCTCTTTCCTTCCCTCTCTTTCTTTCTTTCTTTCTTTCTTTCTCTCTCTCTCTCTCTCCTCTTTCTCTCTCTAAGATTTCACCTTCTCACTCAGTATAAATATTTTCACCCCTCAGCCTCCTATTTATAGGCAAACTGGTGTACCCGGAACGACCCGTATTGAATTCAGAACGACCCGTTCCGGATCCTTCGAATCTGTGCAAAATTTTCAACTGGAACGGCCAGTTTCAAAAAGCAGAACGGCCCGTTTCAAAAAGTAGAACGGCCCGTTCTGAAGTTCACGTTAACACTGATTGACCATAATTGGAACGGCCCATTCCCAACTAAGGTCTTTAGGCAATTTTAGAATTTCGGAACGGCCTGTTTCCCTTTGGGAACGGTCCGTTATGGAAAAACCCACAGAGGCATTTTTTCTTCTTTGGAACGGCCCGTTCCACTTTTTGGAACAGCCCGTTCCAGGGTAAAAAAATAGAATTTTTATAAAAATTTTCGTAAATAATTTTAAATTAATACAAACCTCTATAAAACCCCTTTAATTAACAAAAATATCTATATAAAAATAATTAATAATCAAGTAGCAAATTCGGGGTGTTACACACAAAAATTTTGTAATTGATCCCTAAAATTTTTAAAACAATCACAAATGGTCTTTCTGCGACTGTTTCAAGAATCCTGATTATATAAGTTTAAAATCAAATTAAAAATTCTACATTTTTCTGGGGCTTATTAATTAATTTAACTTAATATTAATATATAAGTATCCCTAAAAAAAATCTTAGCCCAAAAATTTCTAGACATGTCTTGGAGACTGCCACAACATGACTTTCAGATGGTGTAAAATTTGTGAAAATCAATAAAAAGTCAATAAGATATACTGAAACTTAATTATAAGACTACAACCATATAAGGTTTGTGTTGAGATTTTCTCCTTAACTTAAGACCTTAACATCATTAACTACTTGGATATCCTGGCCTTTGCATTACTTTATGATAATGTCATGACATGACATAGGGAGGTAGCCAGAACTTCATACATATTGAATCCAACCATGTCCAAATCTAAGTAGTTGTTGAACATGCAGGAAAGAAAGACGTAGGTTTGTTATATACTAATTCAGAATTATGCTCAACAAAAAGGTAACTACTACATCAAGGTCTATGTTTTTACTGAAAAAAGAAATTACTGGTTCAAACAATCTAATTCGCCAAAATTGATATTCATAATCATTCATCAGAATAGGACATATCTACGGTCTGACCCATTTCTTGTTTGACAAGAATACGCAAACTAAAGTCAGTTTGCAATTGTCAAAGCACACTCAAATTTCTTCACAATATATATTATCATCAGCTAAAATATTTGATTATAATTTCTGTTGGATACTCAATATTAGTTTTTTTTTATTAAATTAAGAATTATTATTATTATGAGTTAGCTAGTACAAGATGTACAACTACAACAACCACAAAAACAAAGCTAGTGCAAAGTGCACACACAAAACAAATCATTCAAAAGGAATGAATACTCATGGTACGTGATGCAAAACCTATTACAATAATCATGAAAAAAACACTTTCACAAACTTCTAAAATGCACCAAATCCACAACACTAAACATGTGCCCCACACCAAACACATTCATTTCGCCTATTAAGCTATTGCTGCCATTCATTGTACAAAAACATAACATCTTCCTAGTTTAAGAATATTAGTGAATGTTACTTGCAAACTGGGGCCAAGAATGAGGTTGGGATCTTTCTATTTAAAAGCATAAAACTGATCTCATCAACATTCTTTAAAGTATGGAAAAAATCTTTACAGTATGTTGAATCACTCCGACAAATTTAGAACATAATTTGCAAGTCAGACAGGAGAAGTATCAGTACTTATCAAAATAAATTTGTTTGTAAAAGCCAAAACTTCAGGATGAGGTAACCTCAAAGAAACAAAGTTTAATGAACTAAAACTCTTTAACTTAATATAATGGTTCCCAAAAGTATAATGCAATCTCCATTCAATGCTTTTTTTCTACCAAAATTGCAGGTCCATGATCTAAATTATGACAGTCCAAGGTTGTTTCGCCGCTTGTACGCGCCCTGCGGCAAGCACTAAATGCATCTTTGTGTGTTTGAATGTGTTTCCTTTTCTGTCTCTTTGGCCCATTCAAGAATTCATTTGTCATAGATTCCATTGCTTTAAGTGTCATCCATCGGTTCCTCGTGCTCTGTCTCTTAGAATTTACATTAGGCTGCTGTTCATCAGAACTGGTGTCAGAGGAGGTTTTCGGCTCCTCAACTACTGCCTGATTATCAGATGATAAACATGGATCATTTACCTTTAGGCACTGTCCATCTTCCCCCATCATTTCCACCATTTCAATGATCTCACCAATTTTAGACTTGGATGGAACCTGAGGTGTGTTGAAGGTGACTGATGATTGTGATTCACATTTCTGAACTTTATCGTGTGAAACACTTGTGCATTGATAAATTTCATTGAGAATGCTTTCTTTGTTATTCTCCTCCACACTTTTTTCAGGTAAAGAAGAAATTAAACCTCCATTCTTCTGATAAGTAACTGGATCACCAACAACATTTTCATGAGAGAATGTCATTTTTTCTGATTCCAAGCCTCCTGAAAAATTCTTAATGATGTGGCTTGTTTCTGTCTTGGCACAGGTAGTCGATGTACCTTTGATGGGAAGAACTGCATGATTGGAAGGACCTGATCTTGGTTTCTGAATGAATTGAAGCTTCATAGTCTTCTTTAGTTGATTATCAATAGACACAAAGGTCTTTTGATTTTTCAGACTTCCTACCATTTTCTTTTTGTCATGAATCAGCTTATTAGTTTCCACCACACTTGGTGAATCATCATAAGAGCTATCCTTACTTTCTCTCAAAAGAATACTTGTATCAGTCAACTTTTGATCAATGTTTTCAGTCATCTCCTCCTTATGGTTTACCTTCCTCATATTTTTTGTCACTTTATGTGTTATATCACCAGCATTTACGTCTACTTTATTCACTGAACTAACAGGCAAATGTTTTAATTCTCTTAATTCAGATGAATTCTCTCCATGCCCCAGACTGGTATCTACAACCATGAATTTTGTATCATCTGCATTGTAAGTAGAAGCTCGGGGCTTAAGATAACATTGATTATGATAATCATCGGATTGGTCATCTTCATCCGATCCACTTTCTGTCACTTCATCATTACTGTCATCAACTTTGGCTTCTTCTTCAACATCAAGAAGATTTGGTTCAGCTACCACTTTGCTCAAGACATCACTGATAGAATCAAAAAAATGATCACCTTTCACAAGTTTTCCCCTTGAATACTTCTTAACACCAGGAATAAGAAAAACCATGTAATCTTTGGAGCTGACATAGCCTTGATTCCTTGGTTGCTCAGAGTGCCAACCTCTTGCCAGTAAGCGGGGCCAAACAGCTTCCCAGAAGAGATCATTACTCTTGGCCTTGCTCATTCGCAATCCAGTTAAAGACTTTATTATATCACTTGGTCCAAGATAAGACCAAATTGAAAACACCCGATTGTTTTTGCCAGCTTCCAAGGCAAGACGTGTAAGGTCATCTTCCTTCTCCTTACCAATGCCTACTGCTTCCACAAGAACACCAAGTCCAACAACAGACTTTAAAGAAGATACGTATTCTTCTAGAGAAACTCTTCTCTCCGAATATAACTTGGAAACCTGATTATAGACAAAAACAAAGTGAAATTAAAACATATAAATATATAAATGGAAAGATAAACAAAGAAAAGTCCATTGGCTATACAAGTTCAAATAATCATCATTGAATATTAGTCACCATTGTATCTAATGTACAAATACATATGTCATATTAAAGAAATACCATAATTTGTATATTATCAAATATTTACCGGAAAAAAAATGAAAAAGTATTAAGTATTGTTTAAAGTTTATAAATAGAATAAATTAGGTATTTCCAAAAGAAACGAAATCTTTTATTGCTCATAGCTTCTCTTCTACATGATTAGCATACGGTTAGCATACCCATAAAAATGGACAGACAAGATCATAATCATAATAAATATTATTGTCTTTGGAAAAAATCACGGCACTTCATGAAGTTAAAGACGTTATTTTTAAAATTACAGGAAAGAAAAATAAACATTACAATTTACAAAGGACTGTATCAGAGAAGTGACACAGGTAAATAAAAGTAGTTTCAAAATCATAGAATGCAGTGAAACAGACTAAGCTGCTCATTAGGCAAATGAAATACACATGTTGTAGTTCAATAACAACACTAAAGATGAGATGAAATGTTGATACCTTTAGTAAAGTATGTTTAGATTCTACTGAGACATGAGGAATCAAGCGAGACAATAGTTCATGTTGCCTCCGTCCAGTGAAAAGTTTCTCTCCTATCACAGATTTTATTCCTTTCATTTTCCTGCACTTTGACCATCTGCAATATTCGTCAGATTTGTAAAACTTTCCATGGTAAAATGCCAGTATTTCCCCCATCCCTTTGTTCTCTAAGAATCTTTTTATTTGGATAAAATTCTTTCCAAAAATATACAAACCAAGGAGAAAAGTTTTTCCATCACTGTCACTCCAGGATTTAGTTGATGTGTCAGGGACCAATGCATATTTTTTGTTTTTATCCAGTTGGCTTGAATTGTTGTCTCCTGTCATCACAGATTGAAATGTGATTGGTTTCAATTTTTTGCCATTGTCGCCTTCATGTCTACTATTCTCCACTTCATTAAGTATCCATGTGACAGGGATGGGTAAACCAATTGCAAAGGAAAGTGTGTTGTCATTCCCAACTTCTGACTCAGCAGGATTCATTAGAAGCTGAAGTTGTTCTGATCGAGTTATTATGGAAGGAACTTCCACCTGGTATTCATGACCAACTCGAGGATTCAGTTGTGGGGCTCTATCTGTATTGTTTATACAAGGAGAACTTGGAAGACTACTAGATGAATGCTCCTCGAAATCATCCTTGTAATTTTGCTGAATTAAATCCATCTACCAAGAAACATAGTATAATAAATCAAATAACTATAAACTCAAATCTTAAGAAGAAATATTATAAAGGACGTGTAGATTAGATAACATTATCAAAGAGCACACTTCAAACATGACTTTCAACTAGATATAAAAGTTATGACCAGACTTGCTCATCAATATCATCCATTCATTTACCTGTTCATTGGTTTTACAAAGCATGACACTTATAAAAGGAATCAGGATTTTATGGCCATTAACTTTTTAACCATTCGCATATTAGCTAATAACTATACATAAATAACAACAACAAAAATTTTATTCTGTTAGTTAATGTTGATTACATAGATTACATGACATCATTTGACTTGAATAAAGATCAAATCTTATATTAGATAATAGCAATGTAACAAAATGTTAGGTCTCTAGTGATTTTTACTTTCAATTATTTCACCACTATCAAATTCCTAAAACAACCAACTACTCACAAACTCAGGATTAGATTACAAGTAACAAGAACAATTGATAAGGAATTCTTCATTGGTCAGTAACTGCAAAAGAATTACAATAGTAAAACAATATATTTAAGGAACACAGAAGAAGCTACAACAATGGCTAATATAATCAGCATCAAATCCTCAACATGGATACCTAAATCACCCTGTAAAATTCGGTTAATTTTCTCTGCCAGAAAAAAATAATTGTAAACTTCTCAAAGAACACATTCCTCGATGGCTGATACAGCTTCAAAACAAAATACACCATTATACACACGATCTAAGGAGGGGTGAGAATAAAACAAAATTCTTGTGGGAAAAATCATATGATGGCAAAGAATTTTAATTCTCGAAGAAAAAGATAATAACCAACCCCAGATCCACTTGTATGCATGTTCACAATCAAAGTACCAGCAGATTTACACAAAACAAATTGATTCACACGTGCAACCTAGGAAGAGTAAAACAAACACACAAAAAAACAGCGACACCAGAACATAACAAGTACACTCACTGATATGAAGATTCAACACCCCCACATTACAAGCACGGATTCCGACAATTAATCGAAATACCGCCGATCCAAAAATATTTACAAATATCTTTCTTTGTATCCTATGTTATTATGTATTATAAACATACAAACTGTATAATCCAAAGAAGAAGAAGCACGGATACACTCATTGGAGGAGTCAAAGTTTGATGACAAAGAAAGATGAATAATTCTCAACCTTTGAGCAAGTGGTGGTAACGTCAAATGCCAAGGCTTCAAAGGGGTGGCAATAGCATCAAGCAAGCACACACAAGCAACAAGAATAATAATAAATGGTTGGTGATAATATTTAGAGTTGATTTGCATATATGTGTTATCAAAGTAAACAAAGCATAAAAGATATTAACATAGAGAGAGAAGGGAGAGAGAGAAACCTGGTGCTTAACGGCTCAAGTGAACAAAACACGAAAGTGAATTTGCGGAGCATGAAACGAAGTAATGAACTACTACTACTTGGTCCTCACTTTTAAACATTCTGAGTCATCCTTCACCAACTCGCCCGAGTTTAGTTGAGTTGACCACGTGGTTTAAAAGCAAGTCCTTGTGTTGTGTTATGACGTTGAATGATAATTGAAACTTACAAAGAGATAACTAGTTGGATTTATTTTTGTAATTGTAATTATAAATAATTAAATATCTTTATGTTATCAATAAATTAACTGACTGTATTTTGATGTGTTAGTAAAAAGAAGTATATATATCTACATATATTATTTTAAGGTTGTATAAAAAATTATAATTTTTTTTAATATTTTATCTTTATTAAACAGCAATTAAGTAAAAATATAATCCTGTTTAAATAAAATTAAAAAATATAATTATGTTTAAATACATTAACATTGTAAAAATGATTAATAATGCCATCTGATCATAAATTATTATATGTGATAAGATTTATAATTTAACATTTAATAACTATATTTTATTAATTTTTTTACACATGTATACAAATATATAAAAATGGTTCTTCCCTTATAATAATATTCAAATATATAAAGATACAAATGTACGAAGATAATTTTTCTTTTATAATGACACATACAAACGTACGCACACATATATACACATAACTAGTTTTATTAAATTTTTCGAAACTCTATACAAATACTTAGAATTTCTTATAATTACACATTATGGTGTGAACTGTTGGGATTCATCCCAAGTCCCACATCGGTAAAATGAAGGAACATTGGCTACTTTATAAGTGTCCACCATTCCACATAGTATGAGGCCTTTTGGGAAGGAGCCCAAAAACAAAACCGTGCGGGCTTAGGCCCAAAGCGGACAATATCATACTATGGTGGTGCAAAAGGTGGACAATCGGGCCCAACAAGTGGTATCAGAGCCAACGGTTCGTCTGGGTTTGATGCGGGAAGACCCTCAGTGTTGTGCCTCGCGATGGAGATTCGAACTTGGTGCCTTGTGTCGAAAGTCTTCCTGATATTGTGGTGTTCAGGCGGCGTGTCCCGTAGAGTTAACGGCGGTACAAGATGGTGACGGATTATCGCTTGAGGGGAGGAGATCACGAGACATGTGGTCCTTGGTCTGAGGGGAGGTTTGTTGGGATTCATCCCAAGTCCCACATCGGTAAAATGAAGGAACATTGGCTAGTTTATAAGTGTCCACCATTCCACATAGTATGAGGCCTTTTGGGAAGGAGCCCAAAAACAAAACCGTGCGGGCTTGGGCCCAAAGCGGACAATATCATACTATGGTGGTGGAAAAGGTGGACTATCGGGCCCAACAAGTGGTATCAGAGCCAACGGTTCGTCTGGGTTTGATGCGGGAAGACCCTCAGTGTTGTGCCTCGCGATGGAGATTCGAACTTGGTGCCTTGTGTCGAAAGTCTTCCTGATATTGTGGTGTTCAGGCGGCGTGTCCCGTAGAGTTAACGGCGGTACAAGATGGTGACGGATTATCGCTTGAGGGGAGGAGATCACGAGACATGTGGTCCTTGGTCTGAGGGGAGGTTTGTTGGGATTCATCCCAAGTCCCACATCGGTAAAATGAAGGAACATTGGCTACTTTATAAGTGTCCACCATTCCACATAGTATGAGGCCTTTTGGGAAGGAGCCCAAAAACAAAACCGTGCGGGCTTAGGCCCAAAGCGGACAATATCATACTATGGTGGTGCAAAAGGTGGACAATCGGGCCCAACATGAACTTGGTTTTTTGAATTGAATCTACACTATTATGATGATAGCATTTTGATGACTTTACCTTGAGAAATTGGAAAGACCATAAAAGGTTGATAGAAATACTTTATATGCCTAATAATAAAGTTGTTTTTACTTTGGTAATGTTGAAATTGATTTCAACAAACTTGTTGTGAGTAAAGTATATGGTTAACAGATTATTGGTATTGAGTTGAGTATTAAAGTCTTAATTGAATTTACACAAATTATGAATGTTATTATGATCATATAGTCAGAGATAGCAAACAATTTTATAAGTTGTTGTAATAGCCTATATTAGTACAAATTATTGATGTTAATGTTACGAAGTAGTAACATATTCAATCACTGACAAAATTATTACCTAATAATAGTGGAAAGGTTACAATGTTGAACTAGAATTTTGTAACATAAGAACTAATAATTGAAAAACTAAAAATCAAAATAAATCCAAACATGACATTACTAATGAAAAAGGAAAGATAGTTATGAATTATTATTGTAAGAGACATGTAACTAGTTGTATTGTTCAATTGTGTATGTTTCTCCTGTTTATTTTGTTACTTGTGATTTATAAGGACACCTAATTAATTTGTGAAGTAGAATTATAGGATCATAGATTTGATAAGTGATCTAAAAAAAGTTTGAAGAACTTACATGTCTCAGGTGGTACTTCACTTTATCTCGAGCCAACATTCTTGCATACATGATGACAAGATATGACTTTATTGTTCCCCCTTTGGTGGGTGACCTATTTAATATACTAAAATGCTTTACATATTGGGCATGTTAAAAAAAATGGATGCATGCATGGTCGATGTGAGTTGGAGGCTCATTTTATCTAATTTATTAGTTGAGATTTTGCCACAGCATGATTTTGACCAATACTCAAAGTCAAAAAGTCAGGAATTTTCTTTTTTAAGTTGTTTGGAATACACATAACTATGAGAGTTTGGTAGATAACACTTAGCAACATTCAGGCGGTAATGCCATGAACAAATTAGGGAAGGTTTAAAAGCATTTTGTTACCTTCGACAAGAACATTTTTTACAATATATTTTAATGAAGAAGAAAACGTGCACATCAAAAGAGTTCATTTCCAACTAGATAGTTTTCCTTATTATAATCTTATTCAATTGGGAAAAAACAACCTTCAATTCTAGTATAGTCAAAAATTAACTTAAGAGGATATTATTTGGTATTAAAAGTTCAGAGAATTTAGCTTACATTTAATAATAATACCAAATTCTTTCATGTGTGGGTTACTGTGGAAGATTTTTAAACTATTAGATCTTTTCAGTTTTGAATCAATGACAATCGAAGCTTTGACATCCATTCTTCCTCACACATATCATAGAACTGATCCTCTTACCCTTCGTTATCTCATCATCTTCCAATCTTGCAAGTAGGTTTCTTTTTTTTGTAACACAAAAATGAATAACCAATTTTGAACTTAAGGAATAACTTTTACTTCAATTTGGGGAAAAAGGTGTATGAAATCACTCAAATCAAGAACAATATTTTGATGAATCCATGAGACACGAAAGATGGGGGCAAAAAAAATGAATTTGAAAGATGAAACGTGGAAAAGCAAGTAAGGAAAGAAAAGAGATGGAGAACATGCGATGTCAATTGACCAAAGTTGAGATGATAAAGTTATCAAAGGGTTTGATACAACAGAATAGGATGATGATAACGATAAACTTGCATACCAACAATAAATTATGGCTTTAAAAATTGTTTTTCAATCTAATAATGTACGTGACTCCCATGATTTGAATTTGAGTTAAGTTCCA